TTTCATTAAGTCAGGTATTGAATATACCCAGGTGTCCCCTTTGTATCAACAAAGCCATAGCTCGCGACCTTATGTATATGTTGATTCATGAGAGGTTCATATTGCTATGACAACCAAACATTTCTCCGATGTAGTTGGATTTTGTTTATTTCAAGCTTGACATTGCTATACTAGTATGCTTGTGTATTGGAGAATAATGCTGAATTAGACGTGTTACAGTATATCAAACAGGAGCTTTCAGAAATTGTCACATGCTAGATACATCACTGAGGATGGACTGAATAGGGACGATTCTCACTATGCTTACGGCATATGCAACACGCATGCAATTTTATGAGTAATCTATATTCTGCCTCCACGCAGCTTCAGGGTTGTAAACAAGTTATTGCCACGGACGTAATTTCCAGAATGTGATCGAATCAAACGCGAATTATTTACAGCAAATTCACAGTAAATTAAATCGGAATGTGATAGGTTTTGATCGATCGCTGTTGAGGATTCAGTATTTCTGCAGTCTTGTTCAATATATGTAGATTAATGATTAAGTAGTTCTCAGGTACTGAAAACGATGCTGACAATTTTGAAGAGAACGTAAGTACATTGCTCATCCTAAAACATAATTAAAGCGGAAAATTATTGTTTAATATGTCCGATTGTTCGCATTTTAGCACTTTAATGTTAAACTTTTTATTTCCTTAATTAATCGAAGAATTCTTTACAATTTTATGTGCAGAGCACTTTGTTGTTTTATCGGTCATACACTACCAAACTAGAACATCATCAAGAATACGTTTATAAGTCATCGCAAAATCATCGAATAATCATTTTTATAGTTTTCGTGATAAAACTTTCGCCATGTCTTTGTCTCTTTTGTCCCTCTCTCTACAGCCGATAACAAACGGACAGCTGAGAAACCAACACAAATCATTGTAAGCTTTCTAATAAAACAGCTCCTACTATTTGAACTATTTCAAAGATATTGTCAGGTATTTATTAAAAGGATTTAAAATTTCAATATAAATTAATTAAAATGATTTCGTATTTTCGTAATTTCGGAAAAAACATGAATCTATGTAAGAGTAAAGAACAGATTGTCAAGCTGTCAATTTTGTGAGTTTGAAGACAGCTGGTGTGTTTGTGGTCAGTACACACAGATGATCCTCTCCAATGACTCCGGACCAGGGTGTTGATACAATCTGTCTATAGACTGGTACAATAACTTTACCAATCAAATAAAGCCATCATATGAAATTTATGAAATGATGGCGATTTTATCGACATTACGCATGCGTTTATGGTATCCTCAGTGGGTCGGATTGAATGGCCTCCCTTTGTTATGAGCACCAGAAGTGATCAAGAGGATCATAAATAATAAACAAATCAGCAGGATGTGAGATGAGAAGCGAAATTAACGTGCAAAACTTGTTGATAGAGTGTGATTTATTCAAAGCTATAAAGGGAATATATATTGAATGTTACAAAGCCTATGCATTAACTATATCACGTGATAAGCGTTTGATACTGTGAACAAATGTACGGTTTATTTATCATTTTTTGTCCTCAAAACAGTCACTGTCATCTGAGCTGTCCTTAGGTTGATAGCTCACCTGAAAGATGTCTTTAAAGTGCAAGCTCAAAGAAATGTCGTCAACTGAACATTGTGTCACAACAACTACCAAGTCACACTAATCAAACTCGAGTTTCACCAAAGGTAATGATAAAAACACCTGCAAAAAAGATGGAAATGTCCATGAACTACTGAATTGACTGGTATCATCCAAAACTACACTATTACAGTTTGGCGCTGTAAATGTACAGTTTAGTATGCAAACATACCAAGGTACCAAACTCATAATTTTCTGCAAAAAGTCGTTGGTCACGTTTAATTCTCCTTCATGAATCATTGCGAAAATAAACAGCTCGCAAATTATAACTTAATTTAATAATTTAGTTCTAGATTCTTTTATAATCTATTGTTATTTACCCGGATATTAACAATTTTAATTAAATCGAATTGTCATTTATTATCTCGAATTAATAAAACAATTATGTGATACTTTAAGGAATAAAAACCAATCTGAATACTTACTTGAGATTTCCCTGAAAAGAGTACCTGTCAGCAAAAAATAATCTACATACATTCAACACCCACCTCCAACCTCAAATCATGCCACTGGGAATCAGATTGATCGATTACCATCAATATATAGTTTTGGAATACCAGGTAACCGATATTTATAAATATTATCTATAATTTGCAGTACTGCCAGACGACTGCCACTGGCTGTACGTGTTCCGAAGACCATGGAAAGAAAAACAAATTTATAGCAACAGAAAGCTTTATTATGTTATCAATCATTAAATGCGTTCACTGAGCGTATATCTTGTTGCTAAGCAACGGATACAAATGGCGGAAATGATTCATGTCAATGTAGAATACCTACGTCTTAACGAGTCTAAATGACGTTGTCAACTGAACGGTAATGTCGACTGAAGCAACTTACGTACACTTCCTTTAGATGAACATATTAGGATAAAATCTACATTTCTGGACCGTTCTGTTGCCTGTGTAATACTGTAATGACCATCCACTTCCTATGCTGAAGTAAGTATTTTTTTTAAATTCAGTAACGATATCTAATTATATGCGCTTGTTTCTATATAATCCTGTCTACGAATACGTAACACAGAGGAAATGTAAAAGAATTATGTTTAAACATCAAAGTAAGTGTATTCGAATTAGAGCAAATTACTGTCCTCTTATCACCACCAATATCAACTATTTTTGTCAGGTTCGTTTTCCGAAATCGTCTTTTTCCGGTTTTTTCCGTATTGAATATTCCGATACGTTTCCGCTTGAAATTGCGGGAACTAATTACTGAATTCTGAACCGGATGTTGCCTTTATGATAAGCATCAGTTGAGGCTAACATGGTGTTAACACGAGCAAAAGGCGATAGTTTATAGTGTCTATCTAGTAGTAGCTATATAAGTGCTGGACAATAGAGTTTGACTGAAACATTGAAATCATTCAACGTCACCACTTTCAAGGTTTCATATGATCAACATCAGACACGACTCATGGACCGTAGAGTAACACAACTGTTCAGATGGTATGTGTTGATATATCACATATTTCAGTCCGGCTTAATCAATTTGCATTCTAGTATTTCAGATGTCGTCCTTTCTTTTTTTTTCTTGTTGACAAAAAAATGTTTGTTTTGTTTGTTTGTTTAAATATGCAGGCAGATTGAAAGAAACTAAAAATAGTCATCTTAATTTTTTTTTAAATATTTTCCCATCTATTTCTGTAAAACAAAGACATATTGACAGGTCTCACCAGCATGTAATTTGTGTGGTATTCCGAGGGACAAGATATCCCTTATCGTTATATGAGCTTCATAAAGGGTGTCCAAATATAAAGAATATTGCATACCCCCGCCGAGTCGTATCTTTATTAATAAAAGTAGGGGATGCTTTACAAACGATATCCCGTTCTCAATAATTTAATCTCGTATATGACCCCACACGACTTCTAGACGAGTAGAAAAGCTGGAATTAAGAAAGAATACGAGTCCTTAGCCTGTATTCATAAGGATTGTAATACATAACGGAAGCCGTACATTACTAGGCGATGATCTGGAGATTTGGGTTTAAATGATAAAGTATAGACGAATCTAATTTCTTTTCTAGTGTAAAGTGAAATACTGTTTGTATGACATGGCAGAATTTGTAATGACACTTTCACTCTCTTTGTAACGACATCGTGTAACGTGATACATGATTGTGTACGGTTTTTTTGTAATTCCTTTGATACAGAATTACTTCAGGTGTTCTAATACAAAATGAAACAAAGATAAATACAGGTTGGTACTCGTTTAATGCTTTTTAAAAACTTTTTTCAACAACATAAAATTCCAATCGAATTTTAATGTGCACACCTTGAAAAAAACATTTAAAGTATTAAAGCTCTAATCTGCCGTGTATTAGGCAAATACAATAATATATTCATCAATATCATCGCATATTGATATCATATACTCGCCGATGTCGTGTATATATGTGATGTATATCAAATTTAATCAATTGTATCACACCTTTTTAGCACATTTAGACAAATCCTAATCAAGCTTATAGACCTTTACCTGTGTTGGAGTAATTAGGAAATACTGTGGTCATTTTGTGGGGATTTAACTTTTCCTTTACAAGTGGTGTACCCAGTTCATGCTAATGGAATTTTATATCGAAATTTGATGACATAAATGAAATCATCTGCTGTGACTTATAACAACAGCACAGGTAACAATAGATATATTGTTTAAGGTTCGAGGTACATGTAATTCGGCGGAAAGGCATAACTGCTACAGATGAATCAGGTTCATTGAGAAAACTTTGAACTGTACACCTGTCGAAGTTTTCTCAACATTCCGTAAATAAACACCTTCAATACCTGGATTGTTGGTGGGCCGTTAGGGTGCCTCCCTGTGGAGGGTTCAGGGGACAGGTGTTCTCAGTTACACATGAACCACTCAGGTGTGTACAGGTGTAACAGTCACCAAACACTGGTGTCTTTGTCCAGACGCTCATCATTGGAAACCCTATACAGAATTACCTCCATGTTATGATGGCTGTAACGCCGGATATCGTGTACATTGAATCCTGGGAAAGGCAGTTGAAGTGAACTCAATCACGACATCCATTGACGGGGAAATGATGAAATAAAAGAGCTGAAACAATTATAAATAAAGAAATTGTACCTTTGTCTATCTCACTGTGTTAGATCGTGTGTGATTGTTCTTCTATCCGTCCATCTGTCCTTCCATCCATACGTTAAAAGTAATTGCATCCACTCCTCTTTCCTTCCAGACACCGATTCGTTTATGCATCCATCCATCCATCCATCCATCCATATTCCATCCATATTGCTTCCATTCATCCATCCATCCATCATCCATCCATCTTTGTAATACACGATATTTAACTTTCTTCTCTCTTCCACAGGTCAAGACGTGGCAGTCTGTCCGCTTCCGCCTCCAACTCCTCTAATGATGGTCAGTATATCTTCTTTGTTTATACTACATTCTATATTACAGCAATAAGGAAATTTACCCTTTTTAAAATCAGATTGCCCTTAATACTTTTATATTTTTTATCATTATTTTAGTTCTGTTTTAATAACATAAATTGACACTCGAAGCTCATAAAGATACAAATAACACTGATATAACGATAGATAGCTCTCATTTCTGTTATGTGAATTGAACGTTTTGGGATTTGTATTGAGCTAGTGAAAGTGTTAAGGTTTGTCTTTGTTACTTTAACTGTGCAAGTGAAAATGGACCAAAGCGCTGGATTTTGGCTGACTTAATCAAGTATCTGTTACAAATTATTTTTGATGTCTAACCGAGAATTTGAAATTCGACTTATGTTGATGTTTCATGTTTAAACGAAAGAACGTGTTTGTGCGTTTGACAAGAAAAGAAAAATTCGGCCGATGAGTTTGAATTGTTGACGTTAAATGTTTCTTATGTTTGATAAGGAAAGTGAAACATGACCGAAGAGTTATAATTTTCTTGTCGAAATGTAATCTGACAATAGCCTACTTACCATGTACAATCCTGATGACATACGACACTTGTAGAGAATGGTATATTACCCTGATTCCATTCTTATATTCTAAAACAAAAAAGACGATCGATGATTCATCTTCTCAAACAAAGACCTTCAACAACCTGACTCATCTAAGCCAGCACTTTATCAACAAGAGGATTTTTAAAAACAATAACAGAGTTGATTTACTCAGAGATGACCAGACCTGTTCAAAGGTTCGCGAACAATAAATACCTTAACACAATGTCTATAATAATCACCTTAGGACAAAAAGTGAAAGTTTAAAATCATCTGGAACGAATTGTCAATATGGTATCATTGTTTCGCCACGATATCAGTTATTCATCTTAATCTCGCCTCTAGTATGTTTGAAAAGATTGTCATTGAGACAGGACATTGAGACAATAAGAAATTAGACCAGGAGATCTACAGAGATACGTCTATGTAATTAGCACGACCTACCACCTACCTTTCTTTGGATTGTATTCATTTCTTCCACAGTTCGATAGAGAGTGACGCCCTGCGTTTTCTTGATCAGAACACTGTAAACGTTTCATCATGGTTCAAATGTTTAACTAAAAGCGAGGTTCCAAAGGAATGTAATTTTCGCTTAGGTCACGAAATTGGTCATTGGTTTCTTATCAATATTGTTTTAAAGGTAACTTGTTTGATAGCAAAAATTGAAACTCTTCAAAATAGCAATGTTAACAGTATTCTGTACAGTTCATTGGTAAACGCCATGCATTTTAGCAGTAAAAATAGATTATATGGATATATTACGGTAGTGAAGACAGATTTATCCGTATGTCAGTACAATACAGCTTTCCTTATGAATTACGAGAAACAATTGCATGTTTCAGAAAACAACCCATGAACTCCTCGATTATTTATAGAATTTATAAGAGAGAAGATAACGTCATCATCTTCTCTGAAGGTTATAAGATTTAAAGAAAAGATAAGCAAGATAGATTCAAAATAAAACGAAACGTCGGAGTATTAGCGTAGTTATAAAATCGGTAGATATGAAGACAATTTCAGACACGTCTAGATATGTTTTACGTGTCTTGTCTTACAGATATGACATGACTTGTTTATTACAGCGTGTGACTCTTCTCATCAAATAAAACGTGTAGTTTTGTTGTTTATTTGTTTATGGGTGGCATCTACATGAAATGTTTGGTGCTTATTTCCACATCATGTACGTTAGTGTAAAAAAGCAGTAGATTTAAACGACCTAAGGATTTCCTTCAATGATAATCAACCATAAAGAAGGAACATAACCAGCCATTTTCAATTTTATCGCGATACAGAAATTACTCCGATAACGCAGGAACAAAAAAAATCATAGTTAAATGTCAAATTGTATGTCAAAACACTTGATTTCAAAATTATTTAAATCTACTGATACCATCACTTTTCATTATGTTGAAATGTTGGGGATTTCTTTCGTCCTTTTAAACGTGGCATGCATACGAGAAACCTCTTAGTTTGCACAGTTAGGTGTAAAATGAGAACAGTTTCTAATCGTTGCAATAGTTTTATATCACATAATGAAGATTCCGATCAATTGCGCTTAATTGTCTCCTGTGTTATTCATTATCTTCTGAAGTTTCCTATAATCTGTAGGGAGTGTGGAATATCTTGCAAGGAAAAAAGAATGAGAAACGGGTTTTTTTAGATGTCCTGTCTTTGTATGCAGAAGTAATAATGAATCCTGAGACATGTTACAACATATTCTAGATACACATCCTGTGAAAGCTTATAACGCATGATATCTTCGGCTTAAACATGTATATGATGGTGAAATCAGCTTAAACCATTGAATAAGACCTAGTTTATGGTTTGTATTACGCTGACATATCTTAACAATGGAATTAAAATTAAGGTCACCTGGGAAGAAAGAAATCATTTGTTCTCGACATGGAGATGTGATTTGATCGGAGGGTCAGGGTAGTTGTTAAATCTTGTATTGTAATCCACCTATAACACACCTGTAATATACCTATAATTATTGGAATATGTAGTACCTGTGACAAAGAGAGTGTTATTTTAGATGGTAACTGGTATTAATTAACATGGCGACAGGTATGCGGTGAGTGGTTTAAATTGAATATTATATTTTTGATCGATGGAAAATTATTTTCTTTTTATTGTAATTCCTATCATTTCTGTCTGATATTGAAACATTGATTCCGCTCTATGGTTTAATTCGTTAACTACTTTGTGTAATGATACTCCCCGATGAAAACTGTTGCACTATTACAATGCACATTCTTTAAGTATTACCATAACTTGTTGAAAAATTGATATCGGCTTTCATTAAATAAGGATTTACAATGGTGCGCTAGGAAGAATGGCACATCAATTCTGTTATCGATTTCAGATTGTAGTCTACCTATGCTAGAACCATTGTGATGTTGAATTAGATTATAATTCCTGATGACTTTAACCCATCAATTGTCTCAGTGATAATGAGCACTGTTATTGTTCGTACAGTTGTTGTCGTAATGGACTCGCCATTGTTACGGCCTACGCTTGGGAAGTGGACGCAATGTAACGTCGAGGGTTCCATTAGACGAGCAGATGACACTCAGTAGTGACATGCATTTCCAATAACCGCCATCTTTCTTGTTTTTGCAGGTAGCAGTATATCATCTATTGGGTCACTACGTTCAGAAACAGAAAGTGAGAATATTAGTCTATCTGGTAACTCGGATATAGACTCCATCATGCTCAGCGACCCCTACCGGATGACTGTTCACTTTCTTGCTGACGCGCATGAGATCTATCCTATGATGGACATGTACCAGCCAGTTATTGATTGGGTGGATCCAGATTTACATATATTTAAGATTTCTGAGAGGACAGATTTTAGTAATGGCGAAAACCAGTCATTTTCTATGCAAACATCTTACTTGCCAAGCGTATCTCTGATGGTGTTTCTTCATGAAGAAGGCATGTTGGGGTGCGAACGAATTCAAAACGCCAAAAAACATTTTGAGAAATCCCCATGGAAGTTTCACCATTCAGAGGAGGTTTCTCGTGGGCGGGTTAACCCCTACCCTTACAATAGTCAGGACTTTTACTACACGTCAGAGGATCTTCCGCTCTGGGCAGTGCGACAGGTGCATTATGGGAAGGAACATATACGGGTTGTTGTGTTTGCAAGTGAAGACAATTGGAATGATATGGTTCAGTTTTATAAACTTATCATTGGCACAGAGCCAGATTTGAATCGAAATGACTTTTGTTTGTTTACAGTTCATACGCATTTGAATTACGATGTGCAGTTCGCATTGAAGAAGATACAATCGGACATAAAACCTCGCGCGTTAGACTGTGTTAAATTGCAATTCAGGGTTACGGACGTAGGACATATTGTGCCGCTGTTTCCAAACGTTTGTAAGCCCTTGTCGGACACTCGGTGGCAGACGACAGACCACGACGGAAATGCAATCGTGTTGGAGGTCACAGGATGCAACCTCTCTCCTTCAGACAAAACAAGTCATGTATCTCGACACAGTTCGGACAGATCAAACCGATCTGACCAGTCAGGCAGGTTATCACACAGATCTGACCAATCAGACAGACTTTCACGTAGATCTGACCAATCAGACAGTTTGTCACACAGATCTGACCAATCAGATCAGTTGTCACATAGATCTGATCAATCAGACAAATCGTCACAAAACTCGCTGAATTCAGGAAATTCTGACAGGACAGTACAATTATCTAGTTTTTACGTATGATATTTTATATTGTATGTTTATGTTAATTGTCACTTTTGCTGGTATACATATTTAAGACAATACATTCGGTGTATCTATCGGATTAATGTTTATTTTGATGCGTTCGTCCACTTAATCTTTCAACCAAATATTCGCCTTTCATCGATAAAATCTATTCCTCGGATATTGATAATGAATGCGAATACTTTCTGTTATAGATAACCTCATCTAATTTCAAAACTGAAAATTGAAAAAGAAACCAGATTTCTATAACAAACACAAATTTATGATATTCAGTAAATTAATAACATTGCATGTCGTTGATTTTTCCGGGTAAAAAGTTTTTAAATGGGTTTCACACTAGAACGAATGAATAGTATTATGTAGTGAAACTGTTGTTTAAATCAAACAGCAAAAAGGAAAAATGATGTCATTGTTTTCACGACATTTTAAGTGACGATTTGAGACAGAAGTATACAGCTTCAATGATCCCAACGTATGGAGTATATGGTTTAATTAGCAGAGAAATATGAAACATTGAATTATAATTGAACGTTATATCATACAATTATTATCTCATCTTCACAAAACTGTACACTGACAGTATTACAAGCCAACGAGTTCTTAAATTCAAAACAAAAAAAGTAAAATAAAGTTTTTAAAAATCGATAGAAAGATCAAATGACATCAATTTGCTGAAGGAGTACAAGTACTGTATGAGAAACACGTAGAAAATATATGGTGATGTATATCAGAACAGCTTTTATTTCTAACAGTACTTGTTAAATTTACGGTCATGTTCAAAATCGACATTTGTATTCCTCTGTCTACTTACAATGAACACAAGAGATGGACCTGATCTTTTACTTGGTATAATGAATTATCAAACACAGATCCAATCAGATGGTTTTAAAGGCAAAACTTGTCATATCACAGTTTGGCGCTGATGTACTGGAACAACCCGAATGCCTTTTAGAATAATTGTGATTTATCTACAGATGACGAAGTTAAATAAATAAATGTCGTCTTCAGTTTTATCTGGTTTGGAATCATTTTTGTGTTCAAAAGTTTAAAGGTAAAGTCGGCGCCAAGTTAACCTGTCACTCAAGTATATCTCTTTTTAAGATGGCGGCCCGCTCAACTTTTAGCTGCTTTAAAACAAAACGTGTGAGTCAGACCAGATAATTGGTCGATATAGGAAGACGTGAAAATTGAATGATATTGTTTTAATCATTAATCACGGGAACCCTGGGTTTCCGGTCTGATTGGAAAGAAACAAATGCATTATCAATCAATGACTTAAAATTTGAATGAGTTTACAATATAAACAAAATATATCTGGATCATACAATTTACATACAAAAACAATAGTCTTTTGATAACTACGTTGTCTTAATCTAAATGATGTTAATCTTTTTAACATTGGAAAAGAAACAAAACTACTGCCACGAATTGTATACACTGTTTCTCACGAATCATTGGACAACGACAAATCTATTGGCTGAAATGAGCAAAGGGCGCCATTTATTACGAGAGTAGCCAATGTCCCTTTATATATCTTTTCCTAAACACCGCCTATCGTTTAAAATTTCCTCCACGCGCGTGCTTGTATGCTCGATCACAAAATAAAGCTTGTCACTTACTGAAAAGATTTGTACTCTGAGTTTAGTCGAGTTGAAATAATGTATTCTTAATCACAAGAGCAAATCTTTACCATTAAAAGCAATAGTATCTACGTTTTTAAATAGACACTGCAGTGCTATAATTATATATTATGACATTTCCTTTGTTGTTTTCTTCGTTTGAGTTCAGCATCATGAACAACATTTGAATGATAGCTTTTTTTTACAACAAGAATAATCAAATGATCTTGTATAAGCTTCCGTTGGCGAAGAGATTAGCACGCTGCATCTAAATAAAATTCAATTCAAAGCGCTATTGTATATATTGTTAAACAGGGGAGACAACGATGATATATCAATGCAAATATGTAAATTAATTCTTAATTCAGACGTCAGTGACAAGATCTGAATACAGCAGACATGATTGTATCAACTGGACGAAAAAAGAAAGCTGGAATTTTTTATTGACATTGATGTCCTCACAATAAACCGTACGGTTGACGGCTGTTCTCTGGTATCTATGTACTGTAAGCATGTGTGTGTTTTTTTTATAGAATATGATCCCCGTTATGGTATGATACATGTTCATTAAGTGTAATTTCGTGGTCCATAAATTTTCAGTTTTCATCTGAACATTTCCCGTGTAATGACCCAACCAAGGCATGGCTGACTTATATTCTCTTCATTTATATGTTCGGATGGCGTTTTATATTTTTTCAATAGATACGAATGCATAGAGGATTCGAACCATTGCTCACGATGTGTGTCTGTCAGTCATGAAAGAAATCTGAAAAAAATATCTTCGAACGACATCCGAGATACATTGAATTAAAACGGGACCTGGTCCATTTCACAAGAAAATTACAAACTGTAATGAATCATGGTCGAGGAAAGGTTTGCAAGTACATTACTATTCAAAGGTCATATTATTTTAAAATTACACCCCATAATGATTTCAGAAGAATAAGAAACGCACGTGTCACGCTTTTCGTTTATATTATTTTATATAATAATAATAAAATTGATTTCGAGTACGACTCTTTTCTTAGTGTTCAACGGGAAGGCTATAAAGCTAATAGGGCGAAATAGAACGTTATCTACAAATAGCCAGCAGCTGTCTGCTGAGCGAGGAAAAACAAAACCAGAAGTGATATGTCTATTTTAGACAGCGAAGCGTGCCATACACCTGTCAATAATAGTCAATTTACATATAGGTGAGAAAGTACAGGTAAATTAAGAATTTGACGAAAATATTTCTTAAACTATGTGTGCATCAGGTGTTCAAATTCACGTTGTACATGACAATATGTATTTGTCATAGACTAAATCATAAAAAAATTACACGCGAACAGACCATTGTTGTCTCTGTAAATCTGTTACCATAGTTTTAGTGCGTATTTTCAGTATACCGTATTTGATATATTCTGCGACAATTGCTTTCAACAAAAAAAGTCAATTCTGAGAATAACTTAAATTTTCAATTTTAAACTGTGAAAACCAGTTCCTCTTGGTTATGTTTTTATGTGTAAAGATGTGAAAAGTAAACAACGGATAAAAATAATCACAAGTCATCCGTTGTAAAATCAAAGTTTGTGGGACCGGACTTTCATTTTTGCTTTTTTAACATTGTAATTTGCTGGTGCTTGATTTTGGGAAACATGTATTGTTCCCACTTTTAGTCCTTAAAAACTGCCTAGGTTCAGTAATTTATTAGTCCAAGCAAGCAGCTTATTTCTAACCATAGTTACAACTGCAGTGATATATAAAAGCGGATTGTGTCTGCCTTTTCATTTTCATCATCGATTTAACTACACGCTACCATTACTCGAATTATCTGCCCCTGGTTTATACTCACGTGCAATATATTTCACCCTGCAAACGGATCGACGAACTGTCTGATAAAACAGTGTACATAACTAGATATATATCTTATCAATATCACCTGAACCTTACTCACCTGTAATCGAAAAAAAATATCGGTGCTTGGAACTTTTGTCAAAACTCCTCAGTGTTTTCAGTATTTATAATGAATTTATAATATTCAGATATATCTATGGACACACTAGTCAGAAGGAACAGAATGTGTGTACAAACAGGCAATAATATTTTATATGTCACAACCATATCAAACATGTACATTGCATTTGTAGATTACTTTGAATCATTTATAAAACTGATTGTCTCTGGGTTTAGCTGAATGAGTTAGGTGAGAAATTTGTTTTTCCTTAGAAAGAGAACAATCTTTCCTCCGCTCACTACATAACGTCGTAAGTATACATTATATATGTCTGTGGTACACAACAATATTTTTTGTTATGTAGACATTGTCTTGAAACAAGCCAGCTGAAAAACTTTAAAAAGTAGAAATCTTCCATTATGATTATTCACATATTCAATCTTTCTGAAAAATAATCTATTGAATAGTTTCAAACCACGTGTAAAGAAAACCAGTTCAGCATAACGTGTTTACGTCTTTCGTTGAAACGTGATATAGGTTATTGTTTCACGTGACACCTGCCTCAAGATAGACTCGTTAGAAAAATGACAGCTGATATGTTTTAGAACACGGAAGAGGTGTACGCCATCATATAAAATGTCCGACGACCCTTACATAACAATGAAATTTGGAAATGAATTTGACGAATTTGTGAAAGGATCAGAATATTAGAGTCTTGGATTTGAAAAAAAAGGAAATTATAAATATTACATATTTATTTAGATGTTATCATTGTACATGTATCACTGGTATTTGTTGATGATCAACTTATATAGAAAATGTATTTCGTTACAAATGTGATTCCAGATATTATGTACGGTGTACATGAAATAAAACACAAATATTACTAAAAAAAACATGTTTTTGTTTTCTTTAATGAATACTTGAAATTTAAAATCATAATAAAGATACCGTTCATTTTATAAAAAATGAGACAGAAAGCAAAACAGGAGTTCGTATATTTAACATATTGAAAAGAGAGCAACTTCCAACACACGCTTCTCAAAATGCATTTTCAATACTGTAATATTGATTTGTTCCGTTATCTATATTTATGTATTTTATCCAAAAGCACTTAAATACAAGCTAATTTTTATGAAAAGGACTATAGTTTTCTTTATCAAGTTCATTTTCGAGGATAATTTTTTCAGTATCGTATTCCGTTCAAAGATGGAGCGAATATCAGAGCTGCTGAATATGACTGTCTTTACGTGAACTATACCCTTCCCTACCCTGAATCGCTTTTTAGCCCTCGAAATAAATGAATAAATAAAAATGAATAAATAAATTAAGTCAGTTCCATGTTGTTTTATCAGGGCAGTCGCTGAACAAAACATCTAGTCAAAGTAACTGCCGTAGAATCACCTCTCCCAGTGTAGATTGTGAACTTTATAATTCAAAGCCCTGATTACATTATTTATGTTATAAAGTTAAATAAACTTGATGTGATTATATTTCTAGTGTAACATGTAACGAAAGTATGTCATAGCCGAGGAAGGATAAACCCCCAGGACCATATAATATTTAAATACTCAAGGGTCCAGCATATATTTATCGCCCCGTGAGCAGTCGTGGTCATTTTGAGTCAGGATGTCCTTGTTGTAGCTGGTGGTTATCTCCATGAACAATATACGGGAGGACCGTCGCGAGCCAATCTGAGCAATTAAGATATAGTGTCTTATCCAAGAGCACACCAACGCCAGTGATCCGTTTCTCAGCTTCCCAAGAAACGCCAATCGCCATACAGCTCGGATCTTCGTCTGAACTATCGGGTGCCAAGGATGACAAGCTATTACAAAGTGCGCTAAAAGAAATACACAATATAAAAACAATTACTCGCTACCAAAATCGAAATTAAAGTTAAGAAAGGATTTAAAATGAGAATAGACGGACAAAAAAATATAAATAGTCGATAGGAAATTTACGAAACGTCCATTTATAGCGAGGTACACACTTCAACGGCATTACGGTTCCAAAAACCTGAAGTGGGTGAAGGGAGATAACCTCTAAAACATACCTGTCTAAAGTGAAATTTTATTAAGGAACAGACTCGAAACGATTTTGGAGAGAAATTGTGTCTACGTTAGTTGTGGAAATTGAACATAGATATCTAATTTACTCTGTAATGGCGACGCTTGCATTTCTTTATGTGAAAAAAAAATCTGGGTCGGGAGGATTGGTTAAATTTCTTTCTCTTTATCTAAACCTCAATCTGTCTCCTCCTTTTTTCTTCCCCGAATCCTTGATTTCATCGATTTGTTTGTTAATGTGTGTCTATCCTTTATGCCAACACGTGCCCTCAGTTGTAAATATGTTATGTATGCTATTTGACGAAGTTATATTTACAAGTTGGAAAAACTCACTGTTTTTTCCTGTTGTCATGTTACGTGTCAATAAAATGTGTTTAAACTAAACTACAAATTTTGAGAGGTACCGCTTAAAATAAAATCTATGTGAAAAGAAAGTAAAATGCCCTTACAATATCTACAAACATAATAAATTAATGAATAGGTGAACTGAAATCACTATAAAACCTTATATAAGGTTCCTCATTTTTTTTTAAAAAAATCTACACAATACTAGGATCAGCATGAAGAGTGTTGGATTTTGCATTTTCAGGTGCAGAACTAGGGTGTATGGTTCAACGATCTAAATCCAAATTTACATCCAATATAACGTTAGCAGCAAATAAACTGAACCTTTGGGCACAAATAGAGAAGTAGCATATATGATAATGTATCTTATAACTAAATATATGTTGATTCTACGCTGTCTTTTATCGAATTGATATTACTTCTATAGTGGTTTCAAGGAGGGGTGTTGATCCAGCCCTACCCTCTCTCTAATAACAGAGTAGGTTCTAATTCACTTACAGTGTAGACTGTTTCAAATTCTGAAGTCCCTGTCCACAGAAACACACATTTAACTCAATTTCCCACAATACATTTGTCCGCTACGGCTGTGGTCAGTAAGTACAATTCGTGTTGTGGTGACAACGAAAATAGGTCGTCACCGTTATTTGATCACGTGTCGCCACCAACAATGATACACAAATGTAGGGCACCAAGGTACTTATATTTGACACATTGTCAGGTTTAGGAGACACTCCTGGGTACGCTCATGATTCTGAGCCTTAGGGACAGTTTATGGTCGGACAAACAGCCTTTTGACAAAACTTGTTCGAAATCCAATTCTTATAATTAAAAAAAAAACCTTCGTTGTCAGATTTTTTATGGTTACTTGTGTTACTAAAAAAGCAGATTACGAAAAACATTTTAGTTCCGGCATATCCTGAAACATATACATATACGCCATCGAAAATCAGTAATGCCAATATAGGCCTTTTTCAATATCTAATGCAATTAGGAAAACCATTTTAGGCGCGTTTACATAAATTGTATCAGAGAACTGAAAAATAGTGTTACTCAAGTTTTATGCTTTGGTTTGATTCTATTTTATCTAATGCAATTACTTTTTATAAGACATAGAAAAATGTTACTTTACAAATACAAATGTAAATCAAACTCCGTAGTTTCTTACTATCTATAAAGTTCACGTGAGTTCATTTACCTGTCCTATTTTTAAAATTTTTTTTTAAAGGTTGTTTTTGTTTTATTTTCAACTCTTTTTTCCCTCTCAAACTACCAAATGCAACCACGGACTTATATACACATACTTGATAAATATGTCATTTAATTTATTTCGCAAAATGTACAATTAGTTAAGAAGTTGTGTTATTAATTAATCAATTCAATAGTATTTCTTTTTAGTTTCTTTTCAAAGTAGGATAGACATTCTGTACCAGAGACTCACTGTACGCACCTGAAAATATTCCTTCTGGCCCCGTGTGCCTACCACTGCACGGGCAAGGTGCGTGAATCAATTTACACTCATGTAACCAGTTTGAAATAGCAATCTTTGTCATTGAAGCGCTTATTTATTTTGTTTGCATGTTTTAAGCGAGAAGAACTTTGCAAGCATGACCTGACGTCAATGTGTGCCCATGGATAGTTATCCAAATGGAGGTGATTTTGTTTTCAAGCGTTTTACATTTAATGATATTATTACATCTCCTGAAGACGTTGACATGCAGTAAAGCGTTCCAGCTTTGTCAACATTTGCTTGTTCGGAAGTCTACTTAGCCAAGTCCAGCTTTGACCAGACTCAACATGAACAGTCGACTGTAATTCAAAATTATTTTGTTTGTGATAGTTATTGGATAATTATACAATTTTTTCATTCACAAATGTCTTTACTTTAAAATGTGTTTTATTATAGAATTTCTTGTTATTATGGGGAACCCCCAGCTATTTCCAAGTTAAGTTCAAAGGTCAAGCAGGTAAGGCTAGCTCAGCATGTTCTGTTTATATCGCATTTAATACAATGGCTGCGTTATAGAAACCCAAATACTGAAAATTACTAGCAACACTTGATACTTGATGTTTCTTTTCAAATTAAGACAAAACAATAATAAAAAAAACCCAAAAAACATTAATTTGATATTTTTGAGTATTATTTGATGATTTGTTGTTTCAATATTTAAACTATTAAACCTTAAAAAAATATATATAATAAAATTTTAAATCTACCCCTGTTTTACATCATTGAAAATGTCTGTTAATTCTGTGCACTAGTACATAGGCAAGTCCCTTTACTATGCTTGATTAAGTTCGGAGTTTGCTTTCTGTGGGTACTGAATTAAATACAGTCTATAGACTGATTACTTATGTATTTCAAAATTTCAGGTCATGTCTACAGACACATCTTATAGCAGAATGACCAAGATTCATCAATTTTGGTATTATTTAATCAATTTTAATGGATTGGAATTAGTTAACATGAGAACATCCATCAATATAAACAGAAAAATCTCATTCACTCTAACTATAGATTTTCAAAGCTTTAGGTTTTAAACATAGATTCTATAGGTATATATATATTGTAATCTAGTCCCATGAGTTTTGAGTATTTCTCCCTGATTCCAAAATGTCAAAGACTAGCAATCCTTACAAGGTTCAGCATGTACGCAATGTTTTATATAGTTTACAGCAGCGTAATAGTTAAAAATCATACATCGATGGAAAGATAACATATTTTCTTACTAACTTGCATATATGTCAAAGCAATTTAATGTTGTAATTTCCAATTATTTTTCCCAACAACTTTCCAGCATATTCGTGATGGCCACCACAATGCAGAATCTCTGTAGACTTGTGCTTACAACCTACCATTACCTCAAATTTCGCATCTCACCAGACTTTTTGGTAGGGATAGTATCAAATTAAAAGAGTTACCTTTTCTTCGATGAAAGATTTATAAGTATCATGTAAGCACTATAAAACATCACATGAATGCTAACTTTAGCCTTGCGAGGGTCGCTAGAATTCGACAGGTTTATACAGGGAAGAAAATTCTGATCGCGGACCAAAACTACAACAAAAATGAAATTGTGGAGAGATAGTAAATATCCTTTGAACTAAATGTAATCAAGATTCACTTCAAAGTGAAAGGATTTCCTCATTTTAAACTGCTACAGAAATCATGTGTAACTCTGACCACACAGTAAACACTATCACCATATCTAAACATGTGGTATTGATAGGTTGATATAAACATTTCATAGTTATACATAGTTCTTGATCTAATGACTCAAGTTTCATGCATGTGTTCATGAGATCAGCATAGAATACCCCTGAACCCAGATCAGTGCAACTTAGTTTTCATGTTTTGATGAGTGGATGTCTGGTTCAGTTTTCACCTTTTTGATTAGGCTGATTATAGCTAAGAAGCAGGTTTAAATTAATTATAAGTGTATTGTAAAATGGTGTTGTCACGAGGTAGTCTTAAATAACATCTAAACATATATAACGGGGACCTAATTTTCTTGCTTCAGATACTTAATAACTTTACAAATATGCTGAATTTAAGCAAAATGTTCATTTTAATTGTTTCCAAAAGACCACAATGTCATTATGATTTATTCTTTACAGGTTTATTACTAAGAAAGGTTTTTAAAAATACCAGGGAAAATGTCGGGTCTAAATTGGGAAAAAAGATACTATTTTGCATTGGGAATGGGACCGAATATCGGCCCCAAATCTGGCAGATCAAGAGCCCTGAATACTGAATTCTTAAAAAAGAAAACAGAAAAAGGAAAGCTGTATCATTCAACACTAGTGATCAAAATCAATTTATAAAGAATCCACAGTTTCTTTATAGAGAGGTAATTTATTCTTTACTTTTGTTTCTGTCAGCAGATGTCCCTGTCTTGGTAAATGGGATTGGGACAACAGTAACAACCCGTACAACCAGAACAGAGGTCAGAGACATTCTATTACCTCCCTTTACTTCTAATGTAGGTAGTAGTAACACTTCATTGATATCCAAGACAGCTCTCATGACTGCTATCACCAGTGTTTACAATACTGAGACCACACCCCTACCAGCTGCCTCAAACACTACAGATGGAACAACTAAAGGAAAGGAACACCATCCCAACTGCGACACTGCTAGTACCACCAACACAGCCTTACCTTCTCTTTGGTCTGTGCATGGTTATACAAATATTAATGCTGGAAACACAACTTTTTCAGTCTCTAATACTTCCGATATTGTCAGCATGACAACAGCTGCAACTTCAACCTCAACCTCTGAACACATGTCGCCTTCAAGTACAACACCAACTGTAACGTCATCAGATTTGTCGGAAGTGATCACAATCGATGCGAATCTAATGAGGATTAAAGAGGAGGTCATGGATGAAGAGGTACCGACCATTTTTTTTTCTTTTTTCTGCTCCACAAAAAAAATTTACAACCTGCCTATAGCATAAATTTTAAATGATATGTGCCAAAAATGATGTTTTTTGCTGTTACACAGTGGTTTAATGGTTACAGCATCTGACTGTCTTTATCACTAGTCATCCATCTCTGGGTTTCAGGTCCAAGACCTACGTGTGACAGTCACCAGGTAATGGGCGCAGGTTGATGGTTTTCCTCCGGGAACTCCGGTTTTCTTAACCATCCAAACCTTGCCCTTCCTTAAATAATCCTGGCTATTAATAAGCCATATAGCATCAATAAACCAAACCACACTAGGTTACAGTTTATATCCAATTTTTAACCTTTTTTTTTATTCATCTACATTTTTATTTATTTATTTTTTTAACAATTTAATAAGGCAGAGAAGTTGCTGCTCTGAAATATATATTGCTGGAAGTGAAAAATAACAACGTTTTGATATTTTCACATATTTTTGACCACACAATATAGTATAAAAAAGGACACTTCATATACTTGTGTATATGGAGGCCAAAACAGATAAAATGGACGCTTCATATACTTGTATATATGGAGACCAAAACAGATAAAATGGACGCTTCATATACTTGTATATATGGAGACCAAAACAGAAAAAATGGACGCTTCATATACTTGTATATATGGAGACCGAAACAAGAAAATGGACACTTCAAATGTTTGTGTAGGGTATATGGGCCCAAAATAAGAAAATGGAGCAAAAACCAAAAAAAAAGCACTTGATATATTTGTGTATATGGAGCCCAAAACAAGAAAATGGACACTTGATATATTTTTGTATATGGAACCCAAAAAAAAAAAGAAAATGGACACTTTATATGTTTGTGTATTTGGAGCCCAAAACAAGTAAATGGACATTATATGTTTGTGAATACTGAGCACATTATAACATCAAGACTTAATGCTGTATCCAGGATCTGTGCTTTTTTCTTAAAGGATAGATATTGGATCAATGTTGATGAGTCTTTGGACGATTAATAATCAGAAATGGAAAATGGCAGACAGGACGGTGGCTATCTTGGATTTTTACAATGAAAGATTATCATTATTTCTTGAAAAGTAATGGATGGATCTCAGATTTTATATGTAGAATGCCCTTACTCCAATGTGCCCTTTTGTTTCTGGGCTGATAAGAAAAACAAATTGACTGACAGGCTGCTAAGGATTCTTATTGCTGTTTGTGAGAGGAATTTTCAAATTTCATACAATTAAGAGCAAAAACAAAGGAAAGACAAAAGTGATCCAACTGTATAAGAATTAATATAGATTAAGTAATGGTGGATGCCAAGATCCCTCCAGAATTTCTCGTTCAAAGAATTCAGAATATCATTAAATTATGTAACTCTAGAAAAGTTTACTTTGCTCATCTCATACATTTTCACACATCAAAGTTTTGTTAAGTCATTTGATCTGATGCAATCACCGGGCAACAAACCCTTATAAACCAAGTTCTCAAGTTACCACAGCCAGTAACCCTTATCAACCAAGTTCTCAAGTTACCACTGCCAGTAACCCTTATCAACCAAGTTCTCAAGTTACCACTGCCAGTAACCCTTATCAACCAAGTTCTCAAGTTACCACTGCCACTAACCCTTATCAACCAAGTTCTCAAGTTACCACAGCCACTAACCCTTATCAATCAAGTTCTCAAGTTACCACAGCCAGTAACCCATATCAACCAAGTTCTCAAGTTACCACTGCCACTAACCCTTATCAACCAGGTTCTCCAGTTAACACTGTCACTAACCCTTATTAACGAAGCCACCACTTATCCTCATAAGTACTCATGTTACCGCTGCCACTAACCCTTATTAATGAAGCCACCACTTATCCTCATAAGTACTCATGTTACCGCTGCCACTAACCCTTATTAACGAAGCCACCACTTATCCTCATAAGTACTCATGTTACCGCTGCCACTAACCCTTATTAACCAAGCCACCACTTATCCTCATAAGTACTCATGTTACCGCTGCCACTAACCCTTATTAACCAAGCCACCGCTAATCCTCATAAATCTGACACCTCATTAATCCCTCTTGTGAAGACAAATAAGTTTTGTTTACTCATGAGCTCTAATGTATATATTTATATGACTTATTAACTTGTGAAAGAAACCTGTGTTGATGGGCAGAAAATTGGCTGCCTTTTGCGTCATTATTGAGACTGAACTGCAGTATGTCATATTGTGTGTAGCATACAGCCTTAACTCTTATGAGAATATTTTAAAAATGTGTTATAAATAATATGTTATCTGAATTTATTCAAAAATGTTGTCAATACACTGATTTTTCAGAAATGCTTTTTTATGATAAAACTGTTTTTAAAACAGGATAATACAAATGAGACTAGTAACAACCTTATGGAGAATACTGACTGGTTCCTGGATCAGGTTAAAGATGGCTACAAGGAATGTAATGTACACCAGATGGACATGTTGGAACAGAATCTTGTCTGCCTTTCATGTCAAAAATTAATATGTGCTCTGTGTTTACGAGACTTCCACTGTGGACATGACATCATCTCCATCTCTAAACTAAAGGAATGCCGTAATGTCAGGGTAAGTTAACCCAGACTTACACTGGATACAATATTATCTCTGTCTCAAAACTAAAGGAATGCCGTAATGTCAGGATAAGTTAACCCAGAGACTTTCACTGTGGACACAATATCATCTCTGTCTCAAAACTACAGAATGTTGCAATGTCAGGTTAAGTTAACCCAGAGACTTTCAATGTGGACACAATATTATCTCCGTCTCAAAACTACAGAATGTTGTAATGTCAGTTAAGGTTAAACCAGAGACTTTCACTGTGGACACAATATTATCTCCGTCTCAAAACTACAGAATGTTGTAATGTCAGTTAAGTTTAAACCAGAGACTTTCACTGTGGACACAATATTATCTCCGTCTCAAAACTACATAATGTTGTAATGTCAGTTAAGGTTAAACCAGAGACTTTCACTGTGGACACTATATCCCTGTCTCAAAACTACAGAATGTTGTAATGTCAGTTAAGGTTAAACCAGAGACTTTCACTGTGGACACTATATCCCTGTCTCAAAACTACAGAATGTTGTAATGGCAGTTAAGGTTAAACCAGAGACTTTCACTGTGAACACAATAGTATATCCATCTCAAAACTACGGTTTATGTAAATGAGGAGTGTGCTATTGGATTTTTTTTTCTGGAAATGATATTCTAGTCAAATCTAGTCTTAAATTTCAGCAAAGATTCTCATAAAGCTTGAAATGATCTTGAGTTTGCAAAAGGTCATGTTTGTGCAATTGTTATATATGATTAGAATTTGAAATGTTTGTCGATAAATATTCATTTTTATTTTACAGAGTGCTTTGGAAGATGATGTTTCAACCCTTCAGCTGCTTCAACAAACTTTCAAAACAGAATTTGAGGACAAACAGGAATTAAAAAAACTAATAGAGGTATAATAATTTAGCTGAAACCTATTGATATTTGTACGTCGTACTTATAACTGATAAATGGTGGAGCTGAAGTAGTTTCATGTGTTCCTTGATTATCTCAACTTGTCTGAGGCCATGGTGGCAAGTAGGTTTTTATCACTAGCCCTCCACTTCTGATTTGAGGGTTCGGGGCCTACATTGGGTAGTCAGCAGGTACTAGTTGCAGTTGAGTTGTTTTTCTCCTTTGAATTTAGGCTTTCCTCACCAATCTAAGCCCGACACATCCTTAAATGGCCATTTCTGTTAAAAAAAATGTAAAGCGACAATAAACTAAATTAAAATTAATTTCAAAATTTATTTGAGAATCTTTTTATGGCTCCTAGTTATGTTAGCTGATATCAAAACGTTTTCAAAAATTTCTATGAAATTTAGTTTATGGTTTTAAAGACATGAAACCAGCACATTTGCTATCATATTGATCAGAGACACTAAAAACATTCTTTGTTGAACAGCAATCAGCAGCATCTTTACTGAAGAATGTTGATACTGCCTTTGACCAGCTGCTGACAATAGTAGAAAGTAAGTTGAATTTTACCTCTTCAGTCACATATTCACTGTTCAAGGTAATAGGAAAGTTTCTTTCTTATTATCCTACACTTTCACAAAATTTGTGTCTTCCAATCTAAAATTTTCATAAAAGCATCATTATTTTCTGCTAAAATTTCTATGAAAGTTTCTGTCTTGCAAGCATATATTTTCTTTCTTATCTGCTTTAATTTTCATAACAGTTTCGTTGTCCACTAAAATTTTCATCAAAATTTCTTATCTATTAGCTCCTTGATATTATTCAGGAATCAGTGTCCTTCTGGTCAGGTTGACCTTTGCTTCTGTTTTGCTATCAGTGATGTTTTCATCAAAAACATGTACAATTGAAACTTTGGCATAAAATCTATGCTAAATGTTTTTGTTTATTCTATTGTTTGAAGGCTACTTGTATTAACTGTGTTATATTTGTAGACAAGAGAACAGAAATAAAGAAACATATATGTGATTTTGAGAAGCAGAATGTGAACGACCTGTGTAAGGACCTAGAAAGAATCAAAGCAATTGAGCAGGAAGCAACATTAATGATACGGAGAGTCATGGTGTTCTTCACCAAGTTTGACATTGTCGAAGCAAGGAGTCTACCCATCATGTAAGCTTTTCTTTGATTTATTGGAGGTGAACTAAGGAGTTCCTCGGAACAAATACAGCTTTTGAATTACCTTTATCTAAGACAAGAGGTCACAACCAGACTTATATAGATTGATAGATATACAATTTTTGTTTAGGTATCTGTATTTTGTTTGTTGCGGAACATTTCCAACTTTCACATGTAACATTTATAGAATTGTCCTGGGTAAATGCCACCAAACATGTTTATGAATGTTTTAGTTGCTCCTTGAATTTTAAGTTAGTTGGAGGTATTGACAGTTTGACGTACTACAGCTTATCACCTTGCCTTGATATTACCGCACCAGAGTCAACTTTTTACTTAAAATCATTACTAATCATGAAAGACTTAATAGATTTCGACCAGATTTGGTCAGAAGCATTGTTAGTGAAAGGGAAACTATCTGTTTAACGATATTGGTTCTCCATTCCCAGGTGCCTGAGGGGTGGGGCCCCAAAGGAGAAATTTAGCAAATTCTTTTAAATTATTTCTTTTTTTTGTAGAACTGATTGGTCTGAAGCAATGGTAAAGGGAACTACTTATATATAAATATTGACTCTTGGCCCCCATGTTCCTCTGAGGATAGGGCCCGAAAGGTGAAATTTAGCAAGTTCTTTCAATTTCTACATCTTCTTTTGGGGGATGGGGCGGGGGAGTGTGTGTGTGTGTTTGCAATAGGGAAAAAACTTACATCTCCTGTAGGAATATTTAATTCTACCAAAGTATGGGTTGAAGCATTTTAGGGTGAAAGGGAATCTACTTTGTATAAACACTGGATGTTAGCCCCCTGTGGTGGGAGGGGCGGAGCTCTAATAGGGTAGATAGGGGAAATTCTTTAAAAACCTATTCCTAAAGCATGTTTTATTATTTTTGTAACTTTTCTCTCTCTTTCTATAAATTGATCAGGTTATCAGAGGTGATGTCAAGATGTAAAGAGTTTCGATTCAATCGGCGATCTAATGAACAGAGGGAAAAATGTCTTCCACAAAAGAAATTTTCAAATATTTTACCATCGCTACTGGCTGTAACCAACATCTGTAAAACTTTACACCCTGAAGGTAATTATTATACTATCACTACTGGCTGTAACCAACATCTGTAAAACTTTACACCCTGAAGGTAATTATTATACTATCACTACTGGTTATAACAAATATCTGTAAAACTTTACACCCTGAAGGTAATTATTACTACTGGTTATAACAAATATCTGTAAAACTACTGGTTATAACAAATATCTGTAAAACTTTACACCCTGAAGGTAATTATTATACCATCACTACTGGTTATAACAAATATCTGTAAAACTTTACACCCTGAAGGTAATTATTATACCATCACTACTGGTTATAACAAATATCTGTAAAACTTTACACCCTGAAGGTAATTATTATACCATCACTACTGGCTGTAACCAACATCTGTAAAACTTTACACCCTGAAGGTAATTATTATACCATCACTACTGGTTATAACAAATATCTGTAAAACTTTACACCCTGAAGGTAATTATTATACCATCACTACTGGTTATAACAAATATCTTATAACCAACATCTGTAAAACTTTACACCCTGAAGGTAATTATACCATCACTACTGGCTGTAACCAACATCTGTAAAACTTTACACCCTGAAGGTAATTATTATACCATCACTACTGGTTATAACAAATATCTGTAAAACCATCACCATGTGATAATATTTGTATATTGTTCGTTTGATATATTGTTACAACCAGCAATGACATCATCTTATTTGTTTTAGCAACAAAAGTGGTTTGGTCCAAGATCACCCCAGAGAAACGCAATGGAGACTCAGATGCTACTTCGAAAGCTGCGTGTGAGGACATGAAAGGTAGTATCATATAGATGTTTGAATCTCATGGTCCTGGAGTATTGTAGATCTTTTTTCAGACTAATACAAGTATTTAGTAGCTGTATTTCCAACTTGTGTTCACTCCAGAAAGATGTCATAATAATTCTGTTGTTATTTAGAAATTAAAGCACTACCTTTCCATGATGTGGTTCAAATTTTGCTTCCATCATACATTGATGGACTTTAAGTCTGTTAAAACAAAGTAAAAAATGTTCATTAGGATATTTATATTTGGGCAGTTACGAGAAGTTTTGAATAATTTCTTGTTCTAGACGTATTGACAGCATCCAATTTTAACTACATGAAAAGTATGTATAGTTGTAGCAGGTTTTAGAATTAACATGGATGACCTTGGCAATCATTTGAAGAAGACTCTCAGTCTGATTTAAATAGAAATTAGACTAGAATGATACAGTTTTCATTTTGATGGTGAGAAGATAGTGTTTTCGATGATATTTTGCCCGACACATCATTCTGTCAGATTTTGATCGGACTTGTATCAAATTTTATGTTACAATATTATAGCTTGGTGTCTGATACAACATTTACAGATCTTCTAGGATTAAAGACTTGTTAATGTCATGTTCCAGCTATTATCACATATTTTGCTGATAAATGGAATATGATTTTAAGTGTTTTTCACTGTACAATATTACAGTGTACCATTATAATGTATCACTGCACTACTTACCAAACCCATGGTTACACAAATTATATACAGATCCCAGTGTACTTCTGGCCCACCTTGCTGGTGCACAAGATGAGACTTGCTTCCCTCCATCCCATGAAACAGAGACTGAAGATGTAATGGAAATTATCGTTCCCCAATCAAAGAAGAGAACAACTGGGCAGAAACAAAACAGTGGTAAGACTTACAGCATACAAAGTGACAGGTTACATCCTCACTGACATCAAAACATCACTCATAAAAATACATGTTTTCTCCTCTGTCACACAGTTATAGCCTCAGACACTGTCCTCACACCCATAAACCTCTCTCATACACATAGCCTCAAACACTATCCTCACACCCATAAACCTCTCTCATATACATAGCCTTAAACACCATCCTCACACCCATAAACCTCTCTCATACACATAGCCTCAAACACCATCCTCACACCCATAAACCTCTCTCATACACATAGCCTCAAACACCATCCTCACACCCATAAACCTCTCTCATACACATAGCCTCAAACACCATCCTCACACCCATAAACCTCTCTCATACACATAGCCTCAAACACCATCCTCACACCCATAAACCTCTCTCATACACATAGCCTCAAACACCATCCTCACACCCATAAACCTCTCTCATACACATAGCCTCAAACACCATCCTCACACCCATAAACCTCTCTCATACACATAGCCTCAAACACCATCCTCACACCCATAAACCTCTCTCATACACATAGCCTCAAACACCATCCTCACACCCATAAACCTCTCTCATACACATAGCCTCAAACACCATCCTCACACCCATAAACCTCTCTCATACACATAGCCTCAAACACCATCCTCACACCCATAAACCTCTCTCATACACATAGCCTCAAACACCATCCTCACATCCATAAACCTCTCTCATACACATAGCCTCAAACACCATCCTCACACCCATAAACCTCTCTCATACACATAGCCTCAAACACCATCCTCACACCCATAAACCTCTCTCATACACATAGCCTCAAACACCATCCTCACACCCATAAACCTCTCTCATACACATAGCCTCAAACACCATCCTCACACCCATAAACCTCTCTCATACACATAGCCTCAAACACCATCCTCACACCCATAAACCTCTCTCATACACATAGCCTCAAACACCATCCTCACACCCATAAACCTCTCTCATACACATAGCCTCAAACACCATCCTCACACCCATAAACCTCTCTCATACACATAGCCTCAAACACCATCCTCACACCCATAAACCTCTCTCATACACATAGCCTCAAACACCATCCTCACACCCATAAACCTCTCTCATACACATAGCCTCAAACACCATCCTCACACCCATAAACCTCTCTCATACACATAGCCTCAAACACCATCCTCACACCCATAAACCTCTCTCATACACATAGCCTCAAACACCATCCTCACACCCATAAACCTCTCTCATACACATAGCCTCAAACACCATCCTCACACCCATAAACCTCTCTCATACACATAGCCTCAAACACCATCCTCACACCCATAAACCTCTCTCATACACATAGCCTCAAACACCATCCTCACACCCATAAACCTCTCTCATACACATAGCCTCAAACACCATCCTCACACCCATAAACCTCTCTCATACACATAGCCTCAAACACCATCCTCACACCCATAAACCTCTCTCATACACATAGCCTCAAACACCATCCTCACACCCATAAACCTCTCTCATACACATAGCCTCAAACACCATCCTCACACCCATAAACCTCTCTCATACACATAGCCACAAACACCATCCTCACACCCATAAACCTCTCTCATACACATAGCCACAAACACACATAAGCCACCCTTTCACACACAAACACAATCATTACACATGTAAACTATCTTCTTGAACACACATATAATGTTGAGTGAAGGGAGATAACTCTACCACAAATCATTAGTTATTTTGTTGGTTCATTTTCATTTCAATGTTTTGGATGAAGTCAGTTTTTCATTTGCTTGGATCATGCTTACAGATGTGTCCTTCACCTGACATTCAGGATTCAATACTTGCAGTAGACAAAGGCCTGAGACCACCAAATACCAACAAGGTCTCCCTCATTTCTGAAAATCCTGGGTCTAGATTAATTGTTTACAGTTTTTTTTTTAAATTTTATACTTATAGCTTTCCAGCAAAATATTGGTTGCCGTGGTAGTATATTTATTGAAACTACAGTGTTAGCACTATAAAACTATATTTTGCAAATTAAAGTGTCCATACTATAATACCGTATTTTGCAAATAATAATCTGTTACTTCTGCTCTTGCAAAAAATATTCTGAAATAACAATGTTGTTTTGGCTTGCTTTTCCTTAATGCCAACTAAAATGATAAACTTGTTACATTTCATAAAGTTGTGACAAGAGTTGAGAAGTTCTTGCTGGGGCAAAAGCCCGAGCGACAAGGGTCCTGCCACTGGAGAGTAGCCTCTCTCCTGTCTGGCCGTCAGAAACCAATACATACTGGCTAGAAAGGTGGTGGTATTTATACTAGCCATGTTAATTAACTGATGATTACACATTAGCTAATAGGTAAACATAGATTGAATTATACATGAGTTGTCCACAAGGTCTTGCACACATAAATAGCAATAGATTCGGCTGTTTACAACAAGATAAAGTTACACTGACCATCATACAAACTGCTTAGATAGGCTTCAGGTAATGACTTATATAATCAGGGACTCATACATGAACATGTGTAGTAGATCAGACAACGACAGAATGTCTCTGGCCACTGGTCAATACATAATTGTTCACAGTAGATGTCATTACTAAATTAACACAGGCAGATACATTATAATGAAACCTCTGACTTATGTCTAGCACAATTTTGAATAATTTAATCTTACATATTAACTTTTAATAGTTCACAACTTCACTTGTCATTCATCACATCAGTTGTACTATGGTAATAACTGATAGGGTGTAACTTATCTATTGTGTATGGTAATAACTGACAGGGTGTAACCTATCTATTGTACTATGGTAATAACACATGTTTATTCCTGTGATACTCAATTTTTATGGTTTTTAAAAAAAAAAAAAAAAAAAACGATATTTTGCGGACACATGATTTTGTGGAAAGATATACCTCAATGATTCGTGTTATACTAATTTAACACTTCATGGACTTAAGATTTCATGGAGTAAGAGGACCTACAAAATCAAGTAAAATATATCCTCCACATAATTTAATGGCTTTACAGTATGTTGTGAATTATATATAGTTAAAGCAGGATACAAAATTCTGTTGGAATATTTCAAATCAACAAATAACTTTTATTTATCTTATCACTTGTGTTATTTAAAAGTGTCTTGTTATGATATAATTATGTTACCTACAACTTTTTGACAAATGAAAATATTTTCAAGCAAGAAGCTCAGTAACTTGATGTGTTCTCTTTGAAAAGCTTAGGGTGAATGTTGAATTTTACTTGACAGGGAGAGGTAGACCTAAACAGAAAAGGAAAGATAAGGACCGATCTTTATCTCCAGTCACAGGTATTTCTCAAATGTCCAGATTTTGTTATTAATATTAATAACTATATTTATCCTGCTGTAAGCCCAAGAGACCATGTTACATCTGACTCAAAGTCAGGGAATGGGCTTATTACAGGGTCTCAGGGGCCAACATGTTACATCTGACTCAAAGTCAGGGGATGGGCTTATTACAGGGTCTCCGGGGCCAACATGTTACATCTGACTCAGGTAGGGGTTGGGCATATTACAGGGTCTCAGGGGCCAACATGTTACATCTGACTCAAAGTCAGGGGATGGGCTAATTACAGGGTCTCAGGGGCCAACATGTTACATCTGACTCAGTTAGGGGATGGGCTTACAACAGGGTCTCAGGGGGCCATCATGTTATTTCTGACTCAAAAACATGTGAGGGCTTATTACAAGACCCTGGGTGCCAGTATATTACTTCTGACTCAAAGTCAGGAGATGGACTTATTACAGGACCCAAGAGGGGCAAAGACATAACATCTGACTCTTAATTTGGTGGTAGGCCTTTTGTTAGACCTTCAAGGGCCAATATATTATGTCTGTCTCAAAATTAGGTGGTTGGCCTATTACACTTAAACAATGCAGTTTATAAAAAAGATATTTCAATGTGCAACATTAAAACTGGCTTTTCATGTGAAGGGAGGAATTTATACCGCCAGATGGTGGATGTATCCTGGCCTTGGGACACTTTACACTGGCAGGGGGTGAATTTATACTGGCTAAGGGTCAGTTTATGCTGGTCGAGGGTTACTTTATACTGGGCGAGTGCAAATTTATTCTGCGGGATAGTGAATTTATAATTGGTGAGAATGAATTTATAATGGCCGAGGGTAAAAATATACAGGCTGACCTGAGATTATACAGGTCAAGGGTGAGATTTTCACTTCTAGAATATTTGTTGGTTTGAATAAGGAATTAATTGTTGGTTGAAAAATTAAATCTTTTGTTTTCCAGCTCCTTCTTGTCCAAAGACTTCTAAGAAATCCAGAAATTCAGCTGAGTGTTTTGTTCCTTCAACTTCATCAAATTCATCAACTAGCTCCCCCACTTCTGCTCTTTCTTCTGCCTCTACAACAGCACCTGTCTCCTGTTCATCGTCCACACTCCCAGTGATAACATCAGTCATATCACTGGCTGAAAACAACAAAAGCTCAGCGAAGAAGCCCGCTGCCTCAATAGCTGGACTGTTCGACATTGATTTTAAGTCGGATATCACACAACATTTAAAGGACAGAAAAACAGACAAAAAGAAAGTTATGGCTGTTTTTCCTTCTGTGAAAAAGACCTTGAATAATGCTGCTAAATCTCCTGGCCGTCGACCACAACAACGGACTCGACTTTCAGAGAGTAGTTCATCCTCACTTGAGTCTATTTCTGGCTCTTCATTTTTAACATCCAATACAAGAACAACAACCATTACTACAGCCTCCCCTACTGTTAGGCCTGTGTCTAATTCCAGGACAACAACTACAACAAGTCCTAGTATGATTAATTCAAGTGCATCAAGTTCAAGGTCAGCTGATGGAGAAACAGGCGCAGCAGCATCAACAGGGACTAACAGGTGAATGTTTTTGTCATAGCTTCTGTTGCTTTTGATATGATAGTGCTTGATTTAACAGTGCTGATTAGAATGTCCTCCTTGGAAAAATCTGGGTTTGTTGTATAAAGATTGTTTTAAGTCAGAAGTAACAATCCTACTGATCTGTTTCTATCCTATTTGTATTGGCTTTGTCATGTTTCTATTGAAATACTATCATACACAGTTGCTTCTCTACATCGATAATAGATTGATCCATTTTGATACGTAGATGTATGTTAACATGAGATTGACATGTGTTTAACTCCATGTGTCTCTTTTTCATATTTAGATATGAGATTAACTTGGCTACATGAGTCATAGTTACAATGTGTCAGATTATAGCTTTATAGTCTTATGTTAACCCTTCAACTTTTCAGTGAATGAATTTTCAGTGGATAACCTTCAGCTCTTAATGCTAATGAGTGAATGACCTTGAACTCTGTCAATAAACTGTGGATAACCTTCAACTCTCACTCTTTAGAGTGGATGACCTTGAACTCTGACACTAATCAGTTTGTGACCTAGAGCTTTTAAAACTTATCTGTGAATAGCCATGAACTCTTCCATGAATCAATTGATGACCTTGAACTCTTAACAGTTGTCAGTGCCTTGAAATTTTACACTATTAAGCTGATCACCTTGAACTCCGGCATTTATCAATGAATGATCTTGACTTTATTTACAGTGAGGACTCCGAGACAAATGATGAGGACCAGACAATAGGAGTGGATGGTTTTCCTGTCCTCAGCCTTGTCAGCTTCTACCCTCAAACCATGACCCAAGGTTTGTTGTTAACGATGTAGAGGTTAAGGAGTTCACATTCTTTTTCATATACCTGTCAAAAAATGATGAGATATAACAACGTTCTTCTGTTATGAGATGGTGTTCCCTTCCTGGTGTTTCTTGTTGACATTTTTTTGTCCAAAGACGTAAATTTTTGTGCTATAAAGACATATCAAGAGACATGCAGTTTTGTCACAATTGACAATATTATTTTTCATGCTTTAGATTTTATCGAATGTGCCAGTTTAATTTTAAGACTAACTGTAAAAAATGAGGTAGCCACCATGTACTCAAAGCCTTTATGAACTATAACCTAATATTTTTGTTGTAGCTGATTCTCAGAAATAATTGAATGAATCTTTTCTGGTCCCCAGCTGTGTCTCAGGAGTGATTGTAAATGAGAAGAAAAGGCTTCCACTTCAAACTGTCAGTTAAGGTGCTTGACATTCATTATAACATAAAATGTATATGTTATACTTGTGTTGCTGGTACATGAACTGTTTCTTTTATGTACAGGTCGGACGGTGATGGTACGAGGTCTTCATGGGAAAAAGTGGCTTGGCTATGTGTCTGATAATTCCACGCTAAAAACTAACAGTTACTACTTCTCAGTCCAGTGGTTCAAGGGTAGGTAATAGGGTCAACAGCTAAGGTAAAACATACAAAGGTCAGCAATAAAACCAGTACGTACACAGCCTGTAATAGGGTCAACAGCTAAGGTAAAACATACAAAGGTCAGCAATAAAACCAGTAGGTACACAGCCTGTAATAGGGTCAACAGCTAAGGTAAAACATACAAAGGTCAGCAACAAAACCAATAGGTACACAGTCTGTAATAGGGTCAACAGTTAAGGTCAAAGGTCAGTGACATCACCATTATTAAAACAGTCTGTAATAAGGTCAGCAGTTAAGGTCAACAGACAAAGGTCAGCAATATCATAGTTATGTAGACAATGTAGTCTGTAATAGGGTTCTAAAGATAAGATCATTGGCCAAAGGTCAGACATATCTCTGGTAGGAACACAGTGTAATCAAAGGGGTCATCAGTAAAGGTCAAGGTTACATATTTATAATATAATATATAATAAAACTATTTAATCCTATAGATGTAACAAAAATCCAGAAGAGGTACAGATGTATAGAGATGATTTAGATAAATTACAAATTCATAATGATTATGCTGTATAATGTCCTTTATAATGGTTTGGTTGTGGGAACCAGGAAAATTGTACTGTTTTGTTAAAATTGATAATAGATTATTTAAATGATTTTTGTATATTTTTCTCTGTGAATTTTATATCAATTTATACATATTGAAAGATATGTATTCTTATATCTAACTGCTGCGGCATGATAGAAATCAATAAAAAGAAAATATGTTGTTATGATTGTATTCCACTATTTCCACACTAGTATTAATGACATGACTGAAGATTTACACTTTTTCTGATGTTTGATTTCAGGAGAATTTGGTGTTGATACCAAATTTGACATTCAAGAAAAATGGCAGAGAAAATCAGATAGGGTAAGTGTATATAATGAAGATGTATTAAAATCTGCTCTAGAGACCATAAAAGACCACCTGTGTTAAAAGATCACTTGTATTAAGAGACCATTAGAGAGTTTGTGTTAAGAGACCACTTGTATCAAGAAACAATCAAAAGCTTTTTGTGCTAAGAGACTGTATAAAAGCTGTTTGTGCTAAGAGACTGTATAAAAGCTGTTTGTGCTAAGAGACTGTATAAAAGCTTTTTATGCTAAGAGACTGTATAAAAGCTTTTTGTGCTAAGAGACTGTATAAAAGCTTTTTGTGCTAAGAGACTGTATAAAAGCTTTTTGTGCTAAGAGACTGTATAAAAGCTTTTTGTGCTAAGAGACTGTATAAAAGCTTTTTCTGCTCAGAGACTGTATAAAAGCTTTTTGTGTTCAGAGACTATAAAAGACAAGCTGTGTTAGGTTACCACCTGTGTTATGAGATAACCTGTGTTGTGAGGCCACCTGTGTTAATATACCTAACGTGTTAGGAAATAACATGTGTTATGAGATAGCCTGTGTTATGAGATAACTTGTGTTATGAGATAGCCTGTGTTATGAGATAACATGTGTTATGAGATAGCCTGTGTTATGAGATAACCTGTGTTATGAGAAAACATGTGTTATGATACCACCTGTGTCAAGATACCACCTGTGTTATGAGACCACCTGTGTCAAGATACCACCTGTGTTATAAGACATCCAGGATTGTTTCACTGGCGGTCACATTCATAGGATATGAAGCTGTATTAAGAAATTGTTTTCCAACTTTCATATTGGTTGAACTTCAGTCTGCAGTTTTTTTCACAACCTGATTATATGACTGTAGTGGGCTGAAGTTGGTCAAGAGATATTTATATTTCTCCAACATCAGCCAAAAAAATTGTTTGTGGTATGCAGTTCTAAATTGTTCTTACTGAAGTAACATTGTTTAATTGAGGTCAAATCTTGTGATTTTTTCTGATGAAAAGGGAGGTAATTCAGCTAAACTTTTAGAATTTTGAGATGTTAATTGTTTACTGTAGGCATGCTTAATATGGTGATATAAAATTTTAGTGCATGATCACTTTTAGGCTAATAAGCACAATTATGATAATGAATTAGCACATCCACTGTGATTGCTTTGTAAACAACATTAAGAAACTGTAATTGGTGAAACATATTTCAATACAATATTCACAACTGGAAAAGCCATAATATAAGAGTATCACTGATATATGTATGTTTACAGTATCTTTAATTTAGAAAAATCATCAACACATGAGGATGACAGACTCTATTGCTATCTATTATTTGTGTGTTGTAAGAAAATGGCCATATGCTGCCGGTCTATCTAGGAAAATGGCCATATGCAGCTGGTCTATCCAGGAAAATGGCCATATGCAGCTGGTCTATCCAGGAAAATGGCCATATACTGATGGTCTATCCAGTTTTCATAAAATAAATAAACCCTATTTCTGTTTTAGGTTCATACCGACTGTATAATATGTCATTTCAATTACACTGTGAAGGAAGAGATGTCACAAGAATTAATACAACAGCTGAAAATTGCCTCAAAACAGCCTCCATGTGCTGAGAAACGTCGCAATGAACCACCCAAAAGGGCCAGTCCAAGTAGAACGCCGACCCAGTCCAAAAGTAGATTACCTTCTGTTTCACCTAGACAAAGTAGAGAAGGTGCAACAGGAACTGCTTCCATAGCAACCAGGAGAGGCACGCCCACCTCCAAGTCTAGTAACAAATCTAACAGTAAATCTTAGTAGTGGACATCCATATCTACCATGTTGTGACTGTTTATGTGCTGTACAGCTGATGGTCAACCATTGATTTCTTTTTGTAATCTAGTGATATAAAATACCATCAATGTCTTTTCTTGGGTTTTGAAATAGCAAGTATAAGTTAGGTTTTTCAGTTCATTTTGCCCCATTCCCATTGTTCCACTATCTAATCACTTCAAAAGGAATTGAATATTTGAGCAAAAATACTTCTCAAACACATTCTTGTTAAGATGTCTTCATGTATATAGAAAATGTTATGTGAATGGAAATACTCTTATATTGATCAATTTGTAATAATTATTGTGGTAGCACATTTCATAATGCAATTATTAAAATGAAATATTACTGTTGTAATAAATTTGTGCAAGGGAGTCTATGCAATAACATGGTGTGTGAAGTAAAAAGTCAGGCTTATTACAAGACGATAATGAAAATATCCCCACAGCAATAGATATAAATGACATTATTACTAGGCATAGATTTGATTGATGACATGTATCCTGGTAAGATTTGGGAAAAGTGGGTTCTTCCTTGGCTTCTATTTTTCATGGTTTTCAATTCAAGGGGAAAAACAGTTCAGCATTTGGAACCAACTCTGGGATATCAAGAATTTGAAATTAAAACAGTTACCTGGTATTCATAATAATGTATAAATAATCAGCAAGCTGTTGATTTGAAGTCAACATCATGTAAGTAAGGTCAAAGTACCCATGTTAATACACAGTTCTCAATTTAAGTCACAGTTCCTATGTAAAGTCACAGTTCCTATGTAAAGTCACAGTTCCTATGTAAAGTAACAGTTCCTACGTAAAGTCACAGTTCCTATGTAAGGTCACAGTTCCTATGTAAAGTCACAGTTCCTGTTTAACGTCACAGTTCCAATGTAAAGTCACAGTTCCTATGTAAATACACAGTTCCTATGTCAAGTCACAGTTCCTATGTAAATACACAGTTCCTATGTCAAGTCACAGTTCCTATGTAAAGTCACAGTTCCTATGTAAAGTCAAAGTTCCTATGTAAAGTCGCAGTTCCAATGTAAAGTCACAGTTCCTACGTAAAGTCACAGTTCCTACGTAAAGTCACAGTTCCTATGTAAATACACAGTTCCTATGTCAAGTCACAGTTCCTATGAAAATACACAGTTCCTATGTAAAGTCACAGTTCCAATGTAAGGTCACAGATCCCCTGTAGGTTGTAATTCCCATGTAAAGTCACTGTTCCATGTAAAGTCACTGTTCCCATATTTAATCACTGTTCCCATGTGAATTCCCAGATCCCATGTAAAGTGTTAGTTCCCTTGTAAAGTCAATGTTCCCATGTAAAGTCACAGTTCCCATGTAAAGTTACAGTTCCCTTGGAAAGTCACTGTTCCAATTAAGAGTGGCAGTTCTCATATAAAGTCATAGTTCGAGAAAGACTTTTTTTTTATATTTTTATAACCTGTTTGTTAGTTGTTTTTAAATCTATACAATATTTACACATCCCAAAAAATACAATTAAATGTTTAAAAGATGTATCAAGATTTCAGTTGAATGAAACTCTTCTAGTCAATTAACTTTCACTCAAGTTATAACATTTCGGCATTATGATATTGGTAATAGAATAATCTTACCCCATGACACACATTTTCTATCATCCATAAAGAAAGTATTATATTGGTTGTCTCCCTTTGTTCATTTGACTTGTTTTGTATGAAAGGTATTACATAGTAACTATTATGCAGATATGTGTATCAATATTGACAGTATATTGTAAAAAGGAAATATTTTTGTTTCGATATTCCTTATAATCAATTAAAAGAATTTGTGTTTTGGAGGGAGGTAACTCTTAATCAAGTCTAGGATTGTTATGGTAGTTATTTTGTATTTTGTAGGGAGGTAACTCTCACACAATTGTTGGATTGTTGGATGGATCATAACAGCATCAAATATTGCTATACAAGTTCCTGTAATTATTAATTCAATGTTGCTTTACACTTTCCTGTAATGAGTAATACAATATTGCTGTACAACTTCCTGTGATTAGTATTTCAATGTTGCTGTACAATTTCCTGTAATCAGTAATTCAATGTTGCTGTACCACTTCCTGTAATTTGTAATTCAATGTTGCTTCACAACTTCTTGTAATTACTAATTCAATACTGCTGCAAAACTTGTTGTAAGTAATAATTCAATATTGTTTAACAACTTCCTGAAATTAGTAATTCAATGTTTTTGAACAACTTCCTGTTATTAGTAATTCAATATTGTTTTACAACTTCCTGTAATTTGTAATTCAATGTTGCTTCACAACTTCCTGTAATTAGTAATTCACTGTTGCTGTACAATTTCCTGTTATTAGTAATTCAAGGTTGCAGTACCATTTCCTGTAATTTGTAATTCAAGGTTGCTTTACAACTTCCTGTAATAGTAATTCAGTGTTGCTGCGCAACTTCCTGTAATTAGTAATTCAATATTGTTTTACAAGTTGTTGTAATTAGTAATCCAATGTGAAGAACTGAATCAAATATAGATTTTATTTGTTTATAGAGATAACTTGAAAACAATACTCAGTGAATGGGTGAATTTATTTTGTGGTCACCACCATATTTGTAATCATTTAAACTGCAAAGAAGTTGTTTTTCCACTGTTGTGACTGACATCATAGTGAAACATACATGTGTTGGGGGTGTGTCATTTGATCTAGGTTTGTTAATTAAAGAATTATTCAATGTTGACTCAGTGTTTTGTCAAAGAAGCTACTCAAGAAGATAAAATCAAACTAAAGTCCTCTTTGTTAAGATGTATTTCAGTATATATTTGTACTTTGATTGCTGTGATGTTGCAAGTTTAAGTGAATAAAACAAATCTGCACCATCCTAGGTAACACCATTTCGTGTGACAGCATCCAATGAGACTGCATTTCGTGTGACACCATCCAGTGTTACATCATGTAGTGTTCTACCGTCCAGTGTGTCACAATCAAGTGAAACACCATCCAGTCTGGTGTGACACCAACCATTGTGACACCAACCAGTGTGACACCATTCAGTGTGACACCATCCAGTGTAACACCATCCAGTGTGACATCATGTAGTGTTATACTGTCCAGTGTGTCACAATCAAGTGAAACACCATCCAGTCTGGTGTGACATCACGTGTAGCACCATTCAGTATTGCACTATCCAATGTTACATAATACAGTGTAATATACAATAAAGTGTGATATAAAGTTAGTGTAACACTACTAAGTTTATCACAATCCAGTGTTACACAATTCAATGTATCTCGGTCTAATTGATCTTGATGTGGGTGTGAAACTGTTCAAAAGCTGGAAAACTATAGCATTCCGAATCACTGTTATATCAGGGTGCTGAACATGATGATATGGTTTACTTATCATTATGCATTTTGGTTGCAGTGTTAAGACAATTTGCCAGTTGGTAAGTCGTTTAAACTAAACTGGGTCAACATCCGATCGTCCCCGAAGCGGCCGACCCCGTAAAACGACCGCCAGGGATGACCGTCGTATACGATTGATACACTTGCGCAATCGATTCGTAACCGCAGTAGAGACTACAAGGACGTTGTTTGGGCGTCGTGTATCTTCCCAAACAGTCCGCAACAGGTTGAGGCCTACCAATTGAAAGCGCGGCGTCCCTACACTGGACCAAATTTGTTGCGACGTCGCCGTAATAATCGGCGTAACTGGACCCGTGTTCACCGTCGTTGGGCCTTACGACAATGAAACAATGTTCTGTTTTCAGATGAGTCCAGGTTTTGTCTGCAACACGGTGACGGAAGGCGCAGAGTGTGGAGGCGACGAGGGGAGCGTTTTGCGAACTGCTGCGTCGCAGAACGGGACCGCTTTGGCGGCAGAAGTGTAATGGTTTGGGGTGGTATTTGTAGGGGGACTCGTACCAGGCTTGTTGTGTTAAATGGCAATTTAACCGGCATTCGATATCGGGACGAAATTTTAAGACCAGTGGTTCTGCCATTCTTAAGACGCCATGGCGTTGGCGCCATTTTTCAACAGGATAACGCACCAGCGCACACCAGTCGCGTCAGCAGAACTTTCTTGCAGCAGAATAACGTACAGGTGTTAGATTGGCCATCTAAATCACCTGATTTGTCACCGATTGAGCATGTCTGGGACGTTCTTGGGCGACGCGTGAGAGAACGTCAAAATTAGCCGTCAAACTTGCAGGAGCTGGCCCAAGCCTTGATCGCTGAATGGAACAAAATCTCTCCTCGAATTATCCGCCGGTTTACGATTTCCATGCGACGACGCTGCAATGCTGTTAACTTCGCAAACGGTGGCCATACCCGTTACTAATGGTGTTACCTTTGAAATTGACCCCAACGTCCTTTACAGTCGAATAAAATCAACTGAACGCAAAGTTTTATAATGGACCATGGCTGCAGTTTTATCAGAATTGATCAATTAATTTATTCGTACATGATTGGTAAGGATTTATGAAGGGGTTAATTAATTAATCACAGAATAAAGTAGTGTTACCTTTCTTTTTTTGTTTGGTATATAATACTTCTTAACGCGGTTATAGTGCCGACCATAAAATTTCCCAATAATTTTCCTGAACCTGCATCTCGATATAAATCATACAAGTAAGTAGAATGCATGCCACGTTGACTCGGTGACCAACACGTGCACAAGCCAGTTGCAAGTTTGTTCAAATTGACCAGTTACAGGGGTCAAATGTGTTGAAATCTTCAAACATCTTCTCAATAACTGAAAGTCTTGAGGTCGGATATTTGGTCAGTTGTACGCAAGGAAGTAAAGTTGTCATGTTTATCGACTTTGGTAAAATAACAGGGTCATTATGTAAAATGTTATCTAATCTTCAAATGACAGTAGACTTACTTACCACACTAGAGAGAAGGTATTTCAAGTTTGAAATGAACACGGAAGGCATTTAAACCATTTGAGAGCTGTCACTCTGTCTCGTCCATCTTCTTCTCCTATACGATGAAAGCGCCACCGTGGTTCATGATTACGTCACCTTAGCAACCGTCAACGTCTCTGTAAAACATGACAAAAAGACAATTGTATTACTTCAATATATAATTGGCATTTTAATGAAATTCTTGGATAAAGATCTCTTAAACACTGCAAAAAACTTTCATCAACGGATTCTCGTTATAAGCTACAGAATAGGTGAGCGATGCTCATGCCCACTTGGCCTCTTTATACTGGAATGTCTGATGGGATCAGAGACTTGTAGATTATTTAAATATATTTCTATAATCATTCTCAGTGTAATATTATTTCTGTCTACATCACACACCAGTAACTGATTAGAATTTATTGCGTGCATAAGACGGAAAACCCAACGCGCTATATTTTTCTGTCTATGTTGTCCAGATTATTCTGACGTCGTATTGACATTTTGATATCGATCCGGTCTTGATGAATGTCAGAAAGCATGCTCTATGACAAAGTGAGGGGAAAAAATAACGTCCGGGACTTGGTCGGCATTCAAACGATAACTGGAATATTAAGTCGTCGGTCATATGCGTGCTGTACAGGGTTCTAAATAGCAGCATCTTCCGTCAATCTTCTGTCTGTACAACATCACTTCTAAAATAACATCAGGCTAATGGTGAATGTGTTCGGCAGAAAGGATGCATGCGACGAGAAGGATGAGGGTGTTACAGAGGCGTAGCTTCCATAGAAAGAAAAAGCCCGGGCTTACACATAAAAAAAATCCGTGCATAGAGTATGTCGGACAGAATTACAAAACTAAGGTTGAAAATAAATATCTAATATTTTTGTATAAATAAGAAAATATAAATAGAAAATTGTTGAATAACTAGGCTTAGTGCATTGCTTTCCGGAACTTTTTACACGTCATACTATTCTACTACTTACTATCATTTCAACGTTTCCGGTTATGTTGTTGAAGTGCAAATTTTCAAAATGAAGAAGGCTTCTGGATTACAGACGTCGATCGACAAGTTTTTCAAACAAAGTAAAGTCTTTTATTTAGTCAGGGGTTGAAGTTCGTTGTTAGATAAATAAAAAAACTGTCTCAGAAAACGATTCAAAATATCTTTGAAATCATGAAATTAATTTTCCGTCGGGACCTCCGCCCCCCCCCCCTGATCCCCCCCCCCCCCCCCCCCCCCAGGCAGCCCCAAGACCCCCTCGCCTGGACTTACACATTTCTGCTGGGCTAGCTACGCCCCTGTGTTAAAATAAGCTTGAAATGATTTCTTAATAAAATGTTATGATATCTCTGTATAGCTTGCATGAATTCGGCCCCAAACCCAAAGTACGGGTATATATGATCAACAAGTATCATGGGTTAGATATGTTGAATTACTTACCCAACCCTTTCTGAAGAAACTCCGACATATTATCAATATTACTGGATTTGAGCTGATGGTCGGACGACTTAGTGGTAAATGTACTAACCAATACCCACGCGAGCCTGGGTTCGATTCCCCAACCAGACTATTTCGATAAACTTCCTTTACCATTTCATAAATATTTAAAAGTAAATCTAGTTTATTTTCATTCGAAGATTTTGAAAAGGCAAAATCGATCTATTGGAAATAAACATAATAATAATAAAATCAAATCAAATAAATAAACGCACACATGTCCTAATTGAAATGTTTTCGATATGGGAACGTTGAAACCCAAAACTTCAGTAACTTTTATTCAGAAGGATAAGTATCTTGTTTATCTGTTAGTATGTATTGTATCTGTTACTTAAATCAACGCGGGGTTGTATTCTCAGAGGCGGAACGTTCCAGTCATAGTAACTGACAGTTAAAGAAACATTTTAAATCGCTTTCAGAAAATAATTGCTTTGTGTTCCAGTAATTGAGCAAATCATAGTTTTCTACAACAATTATTTGAATAATGTGTCTGTCATTTTGAAATCTTGAATTAGATGCAAATTAGACAATCCGAAAATTAGCCGGAATGACAGATAGGATTTATGCTAATTGGCTCCGCGGCTCCTTGTAATCTTTGTATTTAATTCCTATTTATTGGTCGCAACGAGTTGAGTGTGTCGTGTCTATTTCAGAACATTCTAAATCAATGTTATGTTGTTCTTTTTAAACAGAATTGTACAAATCGAGCATATCCTAAAACGGAAGGCATTTAAACCATTTGAGAGCTGTCACTCTGTCTCGTCCATCTTCTACTCCTATACGATGAAAGCGCCACCGTGGTTCATGATTACGTCACCTTAGCAACCGTCAACTTCTCTGTAAAACATGACAAAAAGACAATTGTGTTACTTCAATATATAATTGGCATTTTAATGAAATTCTTGGATAAAGATCTCTTAAACACTGCAAGTTAATGGAGGCGATCAGCATGGTTCCATCAATGCTATCAAGCACATGGAGCTGTTCATATACAATTCAAACTCATTGTTATGTTATCGGGGTAACGGGGTCGACTTTTGCATAAGACTGAATTATTATCCTTACAAATTGAAGCCGTAATAGGATGTTCTGTCTCTTATAAGAGAATGAGCGATTTGTACATAACACTGAAATGTATAATGAGGTCACGTTCTGTTCTGCATGACATCCATTTGGAATTTGAACTAGCGAGAATTAGCAGCCATTTCTCGCGGTCTTTAAGTTTCGGAGACTGAGACCAGAGATTGCCTGGATTCAATATATTGTTAACTGCTGTTTAATTGACGAATGGTATTTGTAATGTTGGTTACAATTCTAAAATAACAAGGACAAA